TCTGATACAGGCCATGGTCTTTGCAATCACTTGTTAAGCATCAGAGAGTTGGACAATGACCAAGGAGGATAGAAGGAGAATTGATGCCTTTGAGCTGTGGTGCTGGAGAATAGTATTGGGAGTACCATGGACTGCTAGGAAAACAAACAGATTGATCCTAGAAAGGGTTAAACTGGGTGGCTCCTTAGATTCAAGGATTCTGAGGCTCCGTCTAGCATACTTTGGACATGTTGTAAGGAGAGATCGGTCCTTGGAGAGGGTGGAGGGACAGCGCATGAGGGGAAGACCATCTATGAGGTGGATTGATTGAGTGACTGGGGTAATCGGGATGGGAGTGTCAGGCACAGGACAGAGCAGAGTTTAGGGCTGTTGTACATAGGGTCGCTATAACAACAACAACAACGATATATAATCCAGTACTGTTTTCCTTTATTTTCTTGCTCATTGTTCCATTTTAGGCCATCTTTTGGTGGGCTTTGTGTTCTTTTGACATACTACCGTTGTTTTGCAGTTTTGTTTTTAACTTTTGTTAATTTTACTTTTTCAGAGAGGATTGGTCCTTCCTTACTTTCTGACACTTAAAACCTTTAAGTTAGGTTGTTTTATAAATTTTTAATAGAGCTAGATATTTTCACATTCTTCTGCATGTCAGCTTGGGGTCCCTTGATCTATATTATATTTTAAAAAATATATTCATTAAGATGCCCTCTCTTACTGGCATGGTCCAAGTTGTTATGTCTTAACTGCTAAATTATATCATTTCCACTGAATCACCTGTATCATTATGTAACTGCCAAATTATATCATTATATATCTGAGAATTGGACTACTAAGAAAATAAGTCTGGTAGTGAGTGAAACTGAGTTTCTCCTTTAAGGCTAGGATTTTGAAACTCTCTCTCACATACTTTGGGCACATGGCCGGGAGGGACCAGTCCTTGGAGGACATCATGCTTGAAAGGGTGGAGGGACAGTGCAGGAGAGGAAGACCCTGGATGAAATGTATTGATACAGCAACTGGAGTAATGGGGGTAGGTGTATCGGAGCCAGACTGGCTCAGGATAGGGCAGGCTTCTGAGCTGTTGTACATGAGTCACACAACTCGATGGCACATAATAACATATTGACTTATAACTAACCATCACAGCTAACATCTCTTGCCTTACATATTAGGTGTTTGTTTTTACCAAATGTTGTTGTTGTTGTTGTGTTGATTGCTGTCGAGTCAGGCACAACTCATAGCAACCCTATGAACAAAAGGCCTTATCCAAGTTTATAGAGTTTCCAGAGGCATGTTGTTTAGGAAGTAGATGTGTAATTCTCCTCCCTCTTTGGTGTTTGTTTTAGGTGTTTGGATTTTTTTTAACTTGTTATAAATGTGAAATGTTGGGTAACAAGCTAGTTAGAAAATAGGTGTAGCCCAGCCACCTTAAAACCCTTCGTTTTCTATCCATTTGACCCTTCTCTCTGTTAATTCCTGGAGATCTTTCATTTTTTTAAATACTTTCTCTATAAAAAAGAAAACCCAAATTCATTTCTGTCGAGTTGATTCTGACTCATATGCAAACTTATAGGACAGAGTAGAAATGCCCTGTAGTTGAAATCTTTTCTGAAGTTGCAAATCTTTACTGAAGTATATCACCATATCTTTCTCCTATGAGTCATCTAGTAAATTTGAACTGTTTACCTTTTGGTTAAAACCATTGTACCAGTGGGACTTTTTTTAAAAAAGCTTACACTGGTTTATTTACAAAGTTTGAATATGTTGTTTTTCCCACCAGATATTTCCCATTTCCTTCATACACACCCTGTGTCAAATTGTACGACCCTATGATTAACCACCCCTTCCCACCCATCCTCACCAGTGGACTTTTATTGTCTGTTTTTCCTTTTCAAGAATGTCATGTAATTGGAATCATACAGTATGTAGCCTTTTCAAACCTGCTTCTTTCACTTATATTTCTCTTTCTCATTGTCATTGAGTCGGAAGTGACTCATAGTTGACTCTGTAGTGAGTTTCTGAGACATTTGAGAATATTGCCCTTCTTTTTCCCAAGGAGAACTCTTCCACTGGTAGATTTGAACAGTCAGAGTTGTGGCCTTTGGGCTAAGGCACAATTCCCTATAGACTATGCTACCAGAGCTCTTACCCACTTGCACATAGGGTTCCTCTATATCTTTCAGTAAGGAGCTTTGGTGGCTTAGTGGTAAGGAGTTGTACTGCTAACCTGAGGGCTCATAGTTCAAATCCACCGGTTGCTCTGAGAGAGAAAGATAGGCAGTCTCCTCTTGTGCAATATATTACCTTTGAAAATCTGCCGGAGGGTCAGCTATGAGTCAGTTCTGACCTGATGGTACATAGCAACTTGATGATTTTGAGTCCATAATAGTAACTTAGTAGCTCATTTCTTTTTTGATACCTCCCCCCCCCCATTTACCTACTGAAGGACATCTTGGTTACTTTCAATGTTTGGTGATTGTGAATAAAGCTGATGTAAATATTTGTGTGCATATTTTGTATGGATGTACATTTTCACTTCAGTGAATTAAAATTGCACGTAGGAGTGCAATTGCTGGGTTATGTTTTCTCCCAATGGGGCTTTACCATTTTGTATTTCTCCTAGCAATAAATGAAATGTAATTATCGTGTTACTCTGCGTTTTCCTTCAGCAATTGAGAGTGGCACTATTTTTCTTTTTTTTTTAGCCATTCCAGTAGGTTTGCAAGGAACTCTTGTAGCTTAGTGGTAAGGCGTTGCATTACCAATCCAAACACACACACACACTCTCTCTCTCTTCAAATTCACCAGCTGCACTGAGGGAGAAAGAGGGACAGTCTCCTTCCACGTGATTTACTGCCTCCGCAAACCCACTGGAGAGTCTGACTCTCTAACAAATAATAATAATAGGTGTGTGGAGGTATTTCATAATTTTTTTATGTTTGCAGTTGCCCTTTGTGACGTGAAAGAGCCTTGGTGGTATAGTGACTATAGTGCTCAACTGTTAATGTGGTTCTAACTCACCAAGTAGCTCCAATCAGAAAGATGTGGCAGTCTGCTCCTGTAAAGATTATAGTTTTGGAAACCCTTTATGGCAGTTTTCTTCTGTCATGCAATCCTAAAATGAGTTGGAATGGACTTGACAGCAGTTCAGTTCGGCTTTTTTATTTTGGTTAATGACAAATGACATTGAGCATCTTTTTTAAATTTTTTGTGTATATACCATCAAATCGGGTCTGACTGGGCACAGGAAGAGATTGTCCCTCCTTTTCCAGCAGAGCATCTGGTGGATTTGAACCCCATACCTCTGGGATTACAGTGCAGCTTCTTGCCACTAGGCCACCAGAGCTTCCTTGAGCATCTTTTCTTATGCTCAATTGCCATCTGTATATTATTGGTTAGGGTTGTGTGTTTAAATCTTTTTGCCCACTTTTAAATTGGCTTACTTCAGTATTAAGAGTTTTGCTTTTTAAAAATATATTATTATCTACATTAAATTTAAAAAATTACATTTTATACCATTTTAGCCCACCTATATTTGTGTGTGATGTGTATGTAAAAGTAAAAATGAAAGTTTTGGGAAGCGATATTTATACTCATTCCCATGAGTTTTACTCTGATATTTTCTATTTTCATTAGTTTTTTCAATGCTGTTGTAACTCACAGTATGAAAGTAATAGTCTTACACAGTGTCTACAATTTGTACCATCCCATCAAACTCAGCGACCATTGTGGTGGTTTTAGCTCAACCCTTCATCGCGTTTCTGAGGCTGTAAATCATGAGAGAAGATTGTCCATCTTTTTCCCTCACATTCATACTGCTCGAGAGATGCAACCTTTGGGTTAACAGCACACCTCACAGTGAACTATGCCACCAGAATTCCCTGTATAATCTCATAGCATAGTAATGTTGTTGATTGCCTTCGAGTTGAGCATGACTCATAGTGACCCCATGAACAAAAGGCCTAAAGCCCCTTTACAACTATCGACATTTATCAAAGTTCATAGAGTTTCCAGAGGCATGTTGTTCAGGAAGTGGATGCTACTTATGCTTCCAAAGCATGGTATTAATACCTTTTTATTCCTTCATATATTAGTTGCTTCCCCCTACCCACTTACACACTTGAATTCTTTCTCTACCTTTGTAGTTTTATACACAACTACTTTCCCAAGTAATTCCCCCCCCCCTTGTTCTCTCTGGACATGTGTGTATACTGAGATGCAGTAGTTAATGTGTAAACTTAAATCCTAGGCTTGAGGGCACTTTTCTGCCCCAGATTCAGTGCTTCAGTTGAATTTTCTTATAACTGAGGACAAAGCATAGGGATTGTTAATGACAGGTTGCGTCACCCAAGGTTGGTTTTTCTCAGTCTCTGAGGAATAAGCTGTTTGGGAAAAGGTGGTTGGCTAGAACATCTGCTTTTCTATCTCCTATTTTCTGGGGCCACTGGGCCTACTTTTCTGAGAAATTATGACTCTTGAATAAGATGATCAGTCTCATTCAATACCTATGGCCCTCTTCTCTTTGCAGTTTGCAGAGCAGTCCCTGATGAAGAATGCCATAAAAACATCAGAGGAGTCATGGATTGAACAGCAGATGCTGGAAGACAAGAAGCGGGCCACAGATTGGGAGGCCACCAATGAAGCCATTGAGGAGCAGGTGGCTCGGGAATCTTACCTGCAGTGGCTTCGAGACCAGGAAAAACAGGCCCGCCAGGTTCGAGGCCCCACCCAGGTAGGTCATGAGCTCTCTTGCCTTCCTGACTAACCCAGTATTCCCTTGCTCAAACAGGCAGAAAAAAAGAAGCTGATTAGACATCTGGGGAAGAAGTAAGTTTGTAGGTGCACTCAACCTCATTCCGGCTTTGGTGTTCACTTTTGTGCCAATAAACTCTAAACACCTAAGAAGAACAAATCTCCTGGAGATGTGTTATATAAGAGATAAATGGATGGCTTTGGAAGGACAGGCTTCTATTAAATGCCCCATGTTTGCCAGCCTTTGCTGAGGATATAAAAATAACATCTAGTCCACTCTGACCTCAGTGATCATGTCTATTGACAGAAATATATCTGTAGAGCCCTTCTCTCTGGCTGAAAGTACAGTTGAGATGGAAGATCTAGTCAGAATTCATTGAAGAAGGTTGAATTTTTAGTGCAGGAAGCGAGGAGAATAGACAGGCATTTGGGAACCTAAAAGAGTTTGGAGTGGTTGCATATGTTGGGAAGAACTGGTGTTTATTGAAGATCTATGTCAGCCATCATTCTCAGATTATGGGGTGTATCAGTGAGCAGGGCCAGGCTAAGAATATTGTCTTTATGATGCCTTTATTTTTTTTTTATTCTTACATAAAAAAACAACAAACATAAGTTTGTTGAGGTGCTGTGGATGAAATTTGGAAGGCAGGGTGAAAGGAATGAGTAGGGCTGTGAGTAAGGCTGTGCTGGGGCATAAGTTCATAGTATTAAATAGCATGGTCAGGGTAGGCCTCATAGCAGTTGATCAAGCAAAACTTTCCAGAAGGTGAGGAAGTTAGTTAAGTACATGTCAGGGGATTGGGCATTTATTCTGAGTGAGGCAGAAAGTACAGGAAGGTTCTTAGCAGAAAAGAGGCAGGATCTGACTTTTTAACAGAATACCAAGAATCCTGGAGTCAAAGCTGGTTCCTTTCCCATTCTTGCCTGCTGCCAGCCTCCTCCTCCTTTTTCAGTATGACATGCCACTGTGTCCTTTACCAAGAATTTCTGACAGGTGGAGTGGCCACAGCCATCTCCAAGACCATGGTAGCACCCATCAGTCAGATCAAGCTGCTGTTGCAGGTGCAGCATGCCAGCAAGAAAATCACCACAGACAAGCAGTCATGCCTTTGTAAAGGCATGGTTTGTATCCCCACGGAGCAGGGATTTCTGCCCTTCTGGCTTGGTAACTTGGCCAGTGTCATCTGATACTTCCCCACCTAATTCTCAACTTTGCATTCAAAGATAAATATAAGCAGATCTTCCTGGGTGGTGTGGACAAGAGGACTCAGTTCTGGTGCTACTTTGCTGGGAACCTGGCATTACCCAGGGCAACTGGGGCCACATCCCTCTGCTTTGTCTACCTTCTCGATTTTGCCCAAACGAATAGCAGGATCCAAACGGGAGTTAAAAAACCTCACTGACTAACTGGTTAAGATCTCCAAATCTGACAGGATTAGGGGCCTGTTCCAAGAAGCCTACTTCTGTATCTAAGACAGTGCAAAGGGAATCTCAGAACCCAGGATCCCAAGAACACTTACATCTTCATTAGCTGGATAATCACTCAGTCCGTCACAGCTGTGGCTGGCTTTACTTCCTACCTATTTGACACCGTTTGTAGTCCCATGATGATGCATTCAGGGTGCAAAGGGACCAATACCATGTGCATAGGCACACCAGACTGCTTAAGGAAGATTGCTCGAGATGAAGGAGGCAAAGATTTTTCCAAGGGTGCCTGGTCCAAGGTGCTCAGAGGCATGGGTGGTGCCGTTATATGAGGAAATCAAGAAGTTCACATATGTTATTTCCTAGTTTCTTCCTGTAAATGGGTATGTTATATAACATATCTTGATCATTCTTGATAGACTGTTGTCTTCAGTTTCAAGTACAGACTGATTGAAAATGGGAAGCAGTAATATTCACCTGACCAGTTCTCTCTTAAAGCCACTTCCATCATGATAATGATGATGAGACTTAAAGATATTTTTTATTTTAGTCACTCTTGATAAATAAAAATAAAACTTAACAGAATACTCTTGGATGCTGAGTGTAGAATGGAATCTAGAACATGGAGGTGGAAGCAGAGGGACTAATTAAGAAGAGGCTTACATCTTAGTTCAGGTGAGTGGTGATGGTACTGACAGTGGGGGTGATGAGGTACAGATTATGCATGTATGTTGAGGGTAGTGGTTGAATAAGACTTCTTATCTCAGAAGATGGTGGCGGTGGAGAGTACAGTGTGAAGAGCCAGAGGGATAGCAAGCTGCATAGAGACAAGAAACTAGAGAGTACTTCATGCTCCATAGGGACCAACCATCACAGTGTGATATGAGCAGTAGGAATTTGAATCAGAACTTTTGTAAACACATTATTTTAGAAGCTATAAAAACTTAATGCCCTGCCATGCCGCGATCCCATCGCGGACCTGGCAAAAACTGGAACCCGCTAGCTGAGCTACTTTGGGACTCACCTGAAAGGAAAAAGGTTAGTGAGGAAATTGGCTGAATTCTCTTAAGCCCCACTAAAACCTGGCGGGTCTGTTGCACGACATGGACAATAGGAATTGAATCTTAACTTTTGTTGAAACTTTTAGTATTGGAACTGTAAGAACACAGCCACAGTTGCACGGACTCGGCGAAAACCGGAAGCCACTAGATGACCTTCTATGGGACCCCGTTTGAAAGGAGAAAACTTAGTGGGGAAATTGGCTTAATTCTCTTAAGCCCCATTAAGACCCAATGGGTCTGTTGCGTGACGTGGACGGTAGGAATTTGTATCAGAACTTTTGTTGGATTATACTCAGAGCTATACGAGTGCATAGGCTCAGTTACATTCCGGGCTGCATTTTGGTCCGCACATGAGATCGGCAAAAGCCAGAAACTGCTAGCCGAACTTCTGAGGGACCCATAAAGGGGTAACCTTGGTGGGGAAATTGGCTGAATTCTCTAAAGCCTCACTAAGACCCAGTGGGTCTGTTGCGCGACGTGGACAGTAGGAATTTGAATACGAGCTTTTGTTGGATTAGACTCGGAACTATACAGGCACACAGCCTGGGTTGCACTCTGGTGCACATTTCAGTGTGCATTTCAGATCAGCAAAAGCCAGAAGTTGCTGGACCCATTTGAAAGGGGAAAGCTTAGTGGGGAAATTGGCTGAATTCTCTTAAGCCCCACTAAGACCCAGTGGATCTGTTGTATGACGTAGACAATAGGAATTCTAATAAGAACTTTTATTGATACAAATAGTTTTAGGAACCACAGGATCTTAAACCCGTACTGCTTTACGGAAATTTGACTGAGTCTTCACTGGTCCTGCTAGAGCCAGGACCCTGCTCAGGCAGGAGCCACTGGGCGAGGGTACTGGGTAGTGCTGCTGGGTAGGGGTCACTGAGTGAGAACTGCTGAGTGGGAGACGGACAGCTGGAATTTGATCAGGGACTTCAGTCGTGAGCACACCTGGGCAGCTAAGGTCTTAGAGAGGTCCCTCAAGTGCTTGACCACCCTGGTGATTATTTCACCCCCCTGCCTGCCCCACCCCATTTGGCTCCACACCTGTGCCTACACGACCAATCAACTTGCCTTAAATCCAGACCACCTGGATCTGACTTACCTGCAAAAGGCTGCTCTCACAGCCTCTGAACTGACCTTTTCCTTGAGTCAGAAATTCAGAGAAATTGTATTCAGATCAAGAATATATCAATGTCTCTAAGAAAACAAGCTACCCTACACACTACACAAATGGAAAACAAGATGTTACCACCAAAGGGTGACAAAGTAGCAATGGATTTCCTAAAGCCAGAAAGTCTCATGGAACTTTGTGACACAGAATTTAAAAGAACAGTGATTGAGTATTTTCAATGGATGAAAGACAAACTAGAAGAACTACAGGATACTACAAGCAGAAACGAAGAGAAGCTAAAAAACCAATCCAGAACAATGCAGATAAAACAAACAAGGCACTAGAGGGATTGGAAAAACAAGAAACCATAATCCAAAATATGAGGTCCAATGTTTCAGATGCTGTCAACATGATGAAGGGACACATAAGTAGAATTGAAGAGATAGAACACAGAACCAGTGAAATAGAAATGTCACCACTGATCTGCTAGAGCAAAAAGTAGAATCCAAAAAAGGAAAAAGAAGGAAAGCTAAGAATAATGTGGGACACCATCAAGAGAAACAACATGCGCATCATTGGAATTCCGGAACAGGCAGAAGCAAGTGAAGACACTGAAAAAGTTGTGGAAGAATTACTAGAGGAAAACTTCCCAGGCATAATGAAGAATGAGAGAATATATATTCAGGAAGCTGAGCAAACACCATATAGAATAGACCCCAAAAGGAAAATACCAAGGCACATCATAGTTAAATTTTCCAGAACCAAAGATAAGGAGAGAATCCTGAAAGCAGCAAGAGAGAAACAAAGAGTAACCTACAAAGGAGAACAGATAAGATTAAGTGCTGATTTCTCAGCAGAAACCATGCGTGCAAGAAGAGAATGGAAAGACATATATCAAACACTCTCAAAGAACGCAACTGTCAACCAAGAATACTGTACCCAGCAAAATTATCCATCAAATATGAAGGAGAGATCAAGATATTCCCAGAAAAACAGAACCTAAGAGAGTTTGTATAAACAAGACCAGCATTGCAGGAAACACTGAGAGATCTCCTTCCTACAGAGTTACCACAGACAGCAGCATGGATCAAAGTTAACTAGCAACACCACTAAAAAGAACTCAACACAAAATGAGAGCAACAAAACCCTGCATCTCAATAATCACACTGAATGTGAATGGTTTGAATGCACCATTGAAGAGAAGAAGAGAAGATTAGCAGATTGGATAAAAAACCAAAATCCATCAATATGCTGGCTACAAGAGACACACCTAAAAAAGTGAAGATAAAGAAAGACTAAAAATAAAAGGATGGGAAAAAAATGTACCAAGGAAATGGCAACCAGAAAAAAGCAGGAATAGCAATATTAATCTCCGATAAAATA